TGCGTAGAGCCGCCCCGACCCGCTCCACCTCCGCCGCCGCTACCTCCACCACCGCCTCCTCCTCCGCCGCCACTGCCTCCACTAGTGCCCCCACTCCCACCACCACTCCCACCGCCACCCCCACTCCCTCCGCCTCCTCCACTGCCGCCTCCACCGCCTCCGCCAGCTCCCCCAACGCCCTTGCCCCCCTTGCCCTTGCCTGGGCGGCGTCTCCCGCTAGGGGTAGACGCCGCAGCGACCGACTCAAGACCAACGAGGTCGGCCGCAGCAGCAGAGGCAACAGAGGGCAAGAGGGGGGAGGGGGAGCACCCCTCAAAGACAGGGGTACGAGGGTCACCACGAGAGGCTCCTACAGCAACTATGCTCTGCTCTGCTGCTAGGAGACGCTCCTCGAGGAGGTCAACGGTGAGAGTGGTGGGGCAAACAGAGAGAAAGTGGTCCCTGACCGAGCGAAGGGTGTCAGGGAGCCGGGTGACTATGTAGTAGAGGGTGATGTACATGGGGGGGGGGTTCTTGGCGCAGAACTCAGCAGGAAGCGCAGCGCGGTAGCGAATGTCACTAGTGCGAAGGTGCGTAATGAGGTCAGCGACAGTGGGAAAAGCGGCGAGGTCAGGGAAGAGGTACGGCAGTATGAGGCGGCTAAGCGCAGCAGTGGCAGGGGAAGAGTAGCGTGCAACTACAGCGTCGTACAAGGTCTTAGCACTCTTGTACTGACTAAAGTGCGCACGCTCAGCGGTCGGCAAGTGGCGGCGCACAGCAAGGCGGGCAGCAGCATCATGCGTGGCCCACTGTGAGCGAACAGTGGCGTCAGCATCAGCAGCAGGGGAAGGGAAGGCACCAGAAGTGAGGTCAAAGAGGGAGAGACCGTCTGCCCTATCGCACTGTAGGAAAAGCTGCAGATCATCGAGCCAGACCTCAAAGTCAACAGCCCGACCCTCAGCATCAAAGACAAGGACGCTAGGGGTAGCCATGACAGCAGTGGCAGCAGTAGCAGCAGTGGCAGTAGTGACAGCGCAGTGCGGCGACACTCTTACCAGGGCAGAGAGCCGCAAGTGGTGGGGCAGGGCCGAGGCGCACCGGCTCTGCTCCTCTCAGCGCCTGCGGCGGCTGCAGCCCCGAGGGAGGTGGCGGCGGCTGCTGCTGGTAACGGCTGCTGCAGCTGCGGCTTCCGCTGCAGGGACGGCGGCGGCTGCTGCTGCAGGGACGGCGGCGGCTGCTGCTGCGGGGACAGCGGCGACTGCTGCTGCAGAGGCGGCGACCGCGGGCCAGGAAGGGCGGCGTCAGGGCCATGAAGGGGCCGCACGAGGGGTCGTAGCGCGAGGGGCCGTAAGAGGCCGCGCGAGGGGCCGTAAGGGTGGCGCGAGGGGCCGTAAGGGGCCGTAAGGGTGGCGCGAGGGGCCGTAAGGGGCCGTGCAAGGGGCCGTAAGGGTGGGGCGAGGGGCCGTAAGGGGCCGCGCGAGGGGCCGTAAGGGTGGCGCGAGGGGCCGTAAGGGGCCGTAAGGGCAGCGCGAGGGGCCGTTAGGGGCCGTAAGGGTGGCGCGAGGGGCCGTAAGGGGCCGTTCGAGGGGCCGTAAGGGTGGGGCGAGGGGCCGTAAGGGGCCGCGCGAGGGGCCGTAAGGGTGGCGCGAGGGGCCGTAAGGGGCCACGCGAGAGGCCGTAAGGGTGGCGCGAGGGGCCGTAAGGGGCCGCGCGAGGGGCCGTAAGGGTGGCACGAGGGGCCGTAAGGGGCCGCGCGAGGGGCCGTAAGGGTGGCGCGAGGGGCCGTAAGGGGCCATAAGGGCAGCGCGAGGGGCCGTTAGGGGCCGAGCGAGGGCGTGACGGTAGGGAGGGCACACGGGGCGCGACTCGGGCAGGAGCAAAGCGCGCTCCGGGCAGGAAAAAAAAAATTTCGTGGTGGGCCCTAGGAAGCATTCCCACTAGGGAACCTGCTCTGTTACCATGTTACAAAACGAGGAATGGTGTGACTAGCAAGAATGGGAGTACAAATATGCAACCCTAGAATTGTGTACCCCCTAAGGCTAAACCCACTGTAGCCTACAAAGCTACAACATATATAATGTTCGACAATTCCAACCCACCGTAACCTTATGACGGAAAATTGGTTCGTTGTCATCAACATTTTCGTGGCGACATCCAGGGTTCGAAAAATACTAAGATTGGCACGTGTAAGCTTCTTATTTGGCCAAGCTTTAAATTTCGCCCTTCCAGCTGTCGCGATCTGCGATTTTCGCCCTTCCCACGTTTTTCGCATTTGATTGCGATTTTCGCCCTGCCAGGTGGCGCGATCTGTGATTTTCGCCTAGCAGGTCGCATTGTACAGTGCGACATTTTTGGGCGACACCATCGTCGGTTCAGAGCGCAAACATGAATCTTCGACAGTCGCATATCCAACCTTTGCGACCTAGTCAACACCCAATCTGAAGGTACATTCACCTCCAGCTTGCTCAACTTCTTCCAACAGCACATCCTCCAACGGCCCTTACTGCAGTAAGAACTTGTGATTGTTATCGTTAGATAGCACTTCTTAACTTCCGCCATTTCCAGAGTTCATACCCATCGTGCAAGCGCCTATTTGATCACCCGATCTGCCTTTGCTGCTTAACGATTCGAGACAACGAGACGCTTTTTCCATGGCCTGGCCAGCTAAAGAACCGCTTTGCTTGTATATATTTTTTAGTGTTTTAGATGCAACTGCACATAGTTTTGGGCGCTCTTCAAGCCTTGATGCAGACCGTTTCCTGGGACACCTATTCTCAGGAGGGTGATCATGTAGGGCTTCTATTGGATCCTTGGATTATCTTCATTTCCTGGCAAAGTTAGTTTCCAGTTGTATCTCAATTATCTGATTGAACCCGTGCTTCTTCGGTCTGCATTTTTGCCTGTAATGGTAGGCGAGAGAGCTGGTGGCGTTAGCGGTGACTTTAGCCTCCGATCAGGAGATTACATACGAGGACCGAAAGGCTTGCATTTAGGGTTCTCGGGTCTACGACTTTGCTGGTTTCCATGGCGGCTGACGTAGATCTTAGAAGGCATCATGCTGTTCGTGTGCTGTAATAGGTCGTTTACAAGTGGGAGAGCATATGAGAACCAAAGAAAGGCTTGCAGAAAACGACCACGTGAGCGGGAGGAGGGGGAAGATTTGATCCAGCATATAAGACGTAGATGGGCGGATCAGAGAGAGCAGAACTCAGGCTCAGCAACAGCTCTACCAGCAGACACGGTGAGGACAGATGCAGCACCCGAAAACACTCAGCCGGAGCAAGCAGATGAGATCCCAGTGTTGCCACCTTATGAATTTCCATCTGAGTTACCAGCAGCAGTGCCGGCATTTGATATTGACAAAGCGTTTATGAAGGTCATCCACAGTTGCAACGGAGGCATGGGTTTGTCTGCTATGGACACCAACAACATTTTAGCACTGTTTTGCAGACCCACAGCTGTGGCCAGAACGCTATGAACGTTTGAAGCCGCTGTGCAGAAATCCGACTGTGCACTCTATCTTTCGTTTTAGGCACATTGGAGCCTATTGTGACTAAAACAAGGTGCACGGCCTCGTGCATTTGGTCGATGACATTCGACGGTCCGGTGTCCCTGTTCACTACAACGCCAACATGTTCGAGTTTCTTCACCAATCACTAGTGAAGAGGGCGCGGTGAGTTCTGCATGTCCGCGTTAACATTTCGGTTGTATTGTCAATGCCCAACCATCACATGTTCGCGGTCGCATTGTGTCCATGCAGGAGGTCAGTACCAGAATGGACGCGCAGAACCAGGTGACCTGCCTCACTGAGTACCTGACACGTTCACAAGCGGACAATACCAGGCTGGGCGTAGAGCTGGCCGCGACCCATAGACGGGTGAAAGAGCTGGAGGGGCTGCTGGAGGATCGCGACCGGCAGCTGGTCGCGAAGGACGAGCGCGTGAATGATCTGGAAGCCCAGCTGTCGCGTCTCACCGTGAGCAGCTCAGGGCTGACCTCGGATCCGAGGCCGGCACACACTCCTGGAGCCGCGCCTTCCAATGCCACAACCACCACCGACCAGGGCACGCGGAAGAAACCCGCCCCGCCAACCAGGGAAGAGACGATTCGAGACGCGATCATGAAACCATGGGTCAACGCGACCAAGCCGTCGGACGGATGGAAGCTGTACAAGTCCACGCACGCGCTGGTAGGCGAGAGTCCAGAGTCGCTCCTAGCCCAACCCCGCGGTGCAGTCACGCGAATGGCAGAGCTCATTGGGAAGGAGGGAGGCGGTCAAAACGCGATAAACCGTGTCAAGCGAGTCATGGACTTCATCTCCCGCAGGGTGGAGCAGGGAGACGACATCGCCGTAGTGCTCGACAAGCTCGATCTCGTGTCTGGAACTGTGGGCATGTCGGGTGTATCGGAAGGGATTGCGGTGAAGAAGAAGAGTGTTGACCTGACCCTGAGCGAGCTGAAGAAGGGTTCCCCGGCGGAGGTGCAGTTGCGGGTGAAATGGATGCTTGTACGCGACCGCCTCATCGATGCCTCACTTCCCGCGTCAGAGTTTCCGGTCGCGTGGCCTCAGTACTGTGCCCAGATGCCCCTGCTAGCTTAATTGGGTGGTCATAATATGTTCGCGTTGGGATATTAGAGTAGAATGTGTTTCTATTCGTGTTTACCACACTAAAGTTTCGGGTGTGTTAATTACGAGCCTTCACTGCTCAGTGTACCGCGGTCGAATTGTGTGTTCTAACAAAAATGCGCGTATAGTGTGGCCGCAGAACTGTAACTTGTTTTCCGGGCGCGTGGTCGCATATGCGTCTAACTTTACTGCTCAAATTTCCATCCCTGGCCGCGTAAGAAGCAAAATAGTTGAAACTACGAAAAAGGGGAGGGAATACACAGCTTAGACAGAATGACCACCGCGAGAAAATCTCAAGCAGGGTGGGCAAGCTACCTACACTATCAGGAGTCTCATGCGACCACACAAACAAGTGTCTTTATCACCTAGAGTTCACAACCCCCCACTACCACCTTCACGCAGACCTCTTCTTCGCGGACAAACGCTTCTCCGGCAAAGCGAGATAGAGCCCGTTGGCCTCCATCGCCTTGGCCGCGATCTTGCAGTCGCACCAGGTCATCAGCACGTCTACTGCCTCGTGCGCGACCATAGCGACTACAGTGGGGTCGCCAAGTCGCGCACCAAGACGGTTCACGACCGCGGTCTCTATCTTCTCCGCGATCTGCTTCGGTGTGACCTCAGGGGCTTGCTTGCGAACATTCTCCTTCCTCGCCCACTTGAAAACCGCGGTCACGATCGTGGCGTGACCGCGGGCCTTTTCTTCTGGCGTGCCAGCAAGCTGCGCCGCTGAGTATCCAGCATCCGCGACAGACTCGAGTTCGAGACCGTTGCAGGTCTCCCACACCATCGCGATGGCGCACGCGACCGCACCAGCGAACAGACCCTCTTGGGCGCCGGTGACATCGGGCTCCTCATCTGCAGCCTCCTTCCCTACCGCGGCTGCCCAAGCTATCGCGTTGCCGATTGGGGACCCGCGGCGGGTGAGGTCGCGGTAGGCCTTGAACATGTGGTGGTACCTGCATGCATGTGGTAACACGCAACATGGTTAGGCACGAGTGTGACCGCGTTCATGTCATCCTGGGGAAACCAATGAGTGATCAGATGACCGTACCTGTCAACATTGCCGCAAAGGTTGCGGAGGTGCATGGTGGCGAATAGCCCGGTGCACATCGTCCCAGCAGCGGAGATGTCCTCGGCCCACTCACTCTTCTGCTGCACAGTCAGCTTGAGCCCGGGGTCTATCTTCTTGTCGTAACACATCACCGCGATCGCGGTTAGGTACTGCACCTCTTGGAGAGAGTGATGTCCGAGCCAGCGACGTCTCCCCCCCAGGCACGGTTCACCCACCATCCCCTCCCCACCCCTGGACGGAGGGCGGATACCACAGCCCTTGCGCTTGCCGCTTGTGCCGCTGGTGTCGCTTGGCCCCAAGAACCTCTGCAGCACAAGCTCAACCTCATCGTCCGCGTCAGAGTCGTCGTCGTCGTCGCGTTCAGTCTTCAACGCGACTGCAGGAGGCTTACAACCACTGCAGCCCTGATTCTTCGCCTTCACATCTGCAGAGGGGGGGATGGCAGGGGCGATAGAGCTGGGTCCAGGCTGTCCTGTCGCGACCGCGGCGGAGTTGCCTGACGCGGGCACAATCGCGGTGGTGATGGCGGTGGTGGTGGAGGTGGTGTTTGGCGGGGCGTCCTCGACCTTGGCCTTGCCTTTACCAGCTTCCACCCCCGATGTCGCAGGCGGTGGCCCAGCAGCAGCAGCAGCCCCCCTGGTGGTCCCCGCAGCACGCTTGACAACCGCGCCACCCTTGGTCTTAAGAAGGTCGGAGACGCTAAGGATCGCGACCCCTTTCTGCCGATTCCCACCCCTGCTGCTCTCACACTTACCTGTCTCCTTGTCCGCGACCCTCTTCCCTGTCTCCTTGCCCGCGGCCTTCTTCCCTGTCTCCTTGTCCGCGGCCTTCTTCCCAACCTCCTTCTTCCCTGCCTCCTTCTCCGCGACCTCCTTCCCACGCGGTACATCGGGGACTTGTTGCGGTGCTGCACGCCCGGAAAGCATCGCGATGATGATGTTGAGGGAGTTCATGACGCCACTAGTTGTGATCGCTTTCTCGGTGGTACTCGCGATGTTGGATGACACGCCGTCGATCTTCCGTGCGACCTCGTCCATGAGCTTCTTCTGGGCGTTCTCCATGGAGTCCACAACCACCCCCTTCATGCTCCCAATCTTTCAATCGGACTGCAGCTCGTTTCAGCACCTCCCGCATGTCGCGATTCTCCGCCCTGTCCTTCGCGGCCAGCTTGGCTTCCCTGCGTGTCACCCAGTCCGTGTTCTGCACGTGGGTTAGCACCTTCTCCATCGTGGCCTCGAGTTCTTCGTACTTCTGCGTGATCACCACCGCGAATTCAGCACCGGGCACCGCGGACGCGACCTCGTCTAGCTTGCGCTTCTGATTTTTCAGCTGCTCGTTCAAACGGAGGATCTCCGCGGCCAGCTTCTCAGGAGCCATCTTCACCAGATCCGAGTGTTTTCGCTTGCCCAAGACCGGACTCTTGCCCGCATACTCGCCCGATGGGGTCGCGCTGTCAAAAAGACAAGGCAAGAATGATTGAAAGGAGAGGGGTTTCACTAGCAGCAGTTGGGGTACATATAGCAAACCCTAACTGGGTTGTACTCGCTATAGAGCACCCCACTACAGGCTAGACAATAATAACATTCTGACACACCCCCATAGCCAAAGTGGGGTGTAATCAGTACAATGAGCAGGCATAGCAATAGGTCACAATTATAAGCAAAGCTAGAGGTGATCATAGAGGGCAAGTGAGGAGGAGGAGAGACTGTGAGGGCGAGAAGATGAAAGGCGCCGACTGAAGCTGCAGACACACGGGCAACAGGAGCGGCGCGCACAGTGGCTACCGAGCGCACGAGGGCACCGGACTACGGGAGTATCTGGCTCCGCGGCTACGACGAGCACACACAGGAGCAACGGACCCACAGGCGACTGGCGAAGCAGGCTCGCTGGGCTACCGAAACGCGCGAGGGCATCCGGACTACTGGCGCTGCTGGCGTCACGACGGCTACCTCCACGCAACCTCCCCCGACCGTCCCACGCCCCTCTCACACACCCCCTGCTGAAACCCTAGCTCCACATCCACGGCACCCCCCTTAAACCCTAAACCCTCGGCTCCCACACACCCACCCCCCTCAGCGGCAGCTGCAGCAGTGGGAGACGGAGGAGGAGGAGGAGCCGCAGGTTACCCACACCGGTCACCCCCATGCCCGCCACCCCCAAACCCTAACGCAGGCAGGAGCGCGGGAAACAGCAGGGGCGGGGCACGGAGGGAAAGGGAGGCGGCGGGGTGGCTCTTGGGCGCCACGAAGAAGCAGGGCGCGGGCCCCCCGAGGGCGCCACGGCGGGTGACGGGAGGGGGGCCGCGCACGGGCCCCCGAGGGCGGCTCGACGGGCGACGGGAGGGGCCGCGCGCGGGCCCCCTAGGCGCCGCGACGAGGCGACGGGAGGGGGCGGCGCGCGGGCCCCCAAGGTGCCGCGACGAGGCGACGGGAGGGGGGGGACGCGCGGGCCCCCAGGGCGCCGCGACGAGGCGACGGGAGGAGGACGACGGGGGGCAGCGCGCAGGTCCCCGGGGGCGCCACGACGGGCAGGAAACCGCCGCGCGCCTCGGGGCGCACGGCGGGCAGAAAACCGCCGTACGCCCTGAGCGCACGGCAGGAAGAAGACGGCGCGCGCCCGAGGCGTGCGAGAAGCAGAATAGCAGCGGAAGCAGTTAGGTGGCGGGCCCACCCACAGGATCGACCCAAGGGGGTCGACCTGCTCTGATAGCATGTCAAAAAGACAAGGCAAGAATGATTGAAAGGAGAGGGGTTTCACTAGCAGCAGTTGGGGTACATATAGCAAACCCTAACTGGGTTGTACTCGCTATAGAGCACCCCACTACAGGCTAGACAATAATAACATTCTGACACGCGCTGCCGGGGCGGGGGGACAGCACAGCTTGCAGACCGCGAATACACTTCCGTGCACCCGCTACCGCGACCGCCGACCGCCCGGCATTGTTGGCCGCGATTTCCTCCACCTCCTCCTCCTCTTCCTCATCCTCTTCGTCGTCCTCTTCCTCCTCTATTTCTTCTGAACCCTCCGGCTCCAAATCACGGCGCTGGTGATCCTTCTTCGTCTTAACCGCGACCCTGTCCCTCCCCCTCGTCCGCCTCCTCCTGTGCATTCCTGTCGCCTCCACCCTGGGGCGCGTTAACAGGGGCCTCCTCCTCTCCACGGTCAGAGCTCGAGCCCTCTTCCTTGTTGTCCGGCTTCTCCTGTTCCCCCTCGCCTGTGTTCGCGAGCGCAAGAGCTGTATTGAGAGCATGTGCATCGCGGCCCGAAACATGTGATCCCGCCGGCTGTTCGTGCGACCTCACACGTTCATTGCCGTGAGCATCCCCCCCATGGCCGTTCGCGATCCCGCACCTGGACCTGAACGCGAGCTCCTCCGCGGCGCGTTTCGCATCCTGCCGCAATGTGGTCAGCGTCCTGGCTATTGGCTTGGCGATGCGAGGAGAAGGGTCGTGTCCAATCACCACGTCAAGCTCGTTGAGAACTCTGTCGAACACGAACCCACATGCGAGCGAACCGCAAGGGGCCTTCCAGGAAGAAGTATCCTGAAAGGAAACAGGGAAGTTGGAGTTTAGTGTTAGAGCCCTGCGACGCCGACAAACGCGACCAAACGGAAACGTGAGATAATAAACGCGAACATTACACACACTCACCAGGTCCACGAGGCGCGTCGGCTCGCCCAGCTGCCCTGACCGGATGCACTGGACCGAATCGCTCCCATAGTAGAGGCAGACGCGACCTTGGAACCACCTGCACTGTTCAAAATACGTATCTCAGACATGGAGGAACAATAGCGACTTGGTGTAAAAAGAGGGCCTATACTACAGCCGTACTTGACAATCTTGTCCACCGCAGCAAGATGCTCGGCCGCGGCAGTGGGGTGACAGACGCGGACAAAGCGAGTTTTCCAGGGTGAGGTCGCGTCAAGCCCCAGGTGGTCCGGTCGCAAGAGCAGTAACATGCCCGCGTTGGAGGCCTTCTTGTCACTCAATTCCCTGACATATGATTAGATAACACAAGACGAAACGCGTCAGCAATTATCGGCAAACCCGTACGCAAGGCAGAAACAGCCTACAACAAGTCCCGCTGTACTCACTCGGACCAGATGCAGAACGCGACCAGCTTACACCCAACCAAACCGTCAAACGCCACGTGCGCGGCCTCTCCACCAGCGACGATGTCCGCGACAACATTGGAGGGCACCACCTTAATTGCCTCCTCGAGCGACGCGGGCACGCACTTCCGAACTACAACGCTGCACACGAAACAGAAACCATATTGTCACAGAACCGTCGCGGTTGGGGTGCCGCGATATATGTGGAAACAAACCCGACAAAAGATTTCGCGAGCGGAATCATTGGGTCAAAAGATGGCTCGGACGGATTTGTATGCAGACGAAAATGTCACGCGAACGTGATTTACGCGACCGCTATGCAAGGCATGTGGATGACCTAAACAAGGAGGTAAAACGCCGCGATGCGACCCAATGAAGGCGCCTAAAACAAACCCTCCATCGCAAGGTAGGCTTACCAGGCGAGAAAGTCGAAAGAGGTCGCGGTAAAGGCATGCTTATCATTGGAGAAGCACTTCTTCTGCTCGGGGGGGAGCTCCACAGTGGCGCCAGCGATCGAGATCGTAGCAGTGTAAGTAGCGCCCTGCTCGCCACTGTTCAACAGCGCCTTCAATTCGCGACCGGCCATGGCGGGTGCAGAACGCGTGCAATTACCTACAGCGCGGTCTATGCGAGGAAAGGGCACGCGGACACCACGAATACCCCTACGAGCGCCCACTGCCTAAACGCGAACGCGAACGCAATCTCTACAGTTCAGAAAATCGCCAGCACCAAGAAGTAGGCGGAGAGGACTTAAAAGGAGAAAGGTAAAATGAGCCCGTGAAACCCTGTGTCACGACCCTAATAGGAACGGGATGCATCCGGGATGGGGGCAGCGCGAGCCACAGGCAGGGGGGTGGCACTGCACGTGGTGGGGAGGAACCCGCGGGCCCCTTCGGACATCCCGAGGTGGGGGGCGTTCCCGTTCATGCATGCGGGTGGAACCATCACCCGCCATGTAGCTCTCCGACCGCGGTCTGCATGCAAGGCGCGACGGTTACCTTCTCGGGCGGGGTGTATTCCTCGTCGCGTCCGCCAAAAAGCCGGGTTACGATGTCAAACTACCACTTTCTACACAAACGAATAATACAGTACACGCGTGCATAAATGTAAATCGCGTTTAATTGAACAGGGAGGCAAAACGCACCGCACTTGTCGCATAAAAAACGGAGAACGATAAACCTTCGATTAAGGGGAAAATAAAAACGAAATTGAGGGGGAGTTTTAACACGCAAAAAACAATTAGGGGAATTTTAAATGCAATGGATATGTCCTGTGAAATGTCGATCGCGTTTAATATTTGCGAATAATAAAAAGAGTGTAACAATAGTACGTTGGGTGAACACTCTCCTAAATTGCGGATGATTTATGGGCGAACCCTGGCGACCCTTCGCACGCGCAAAGAGTATTTCGCGATGGACTTCCGAACCAGGGATCTGGTATTGACCCTCACCGATTGGCTGGCGCGCACAGGCGACGCTTCGCACGAGCGGCCATGCGTGCGAAGTGTTTCGCTAGGTCCATCCGGGCCCCCAAGCCCATCGGAAACAGCTCCGATTGGCCGGACCCGCTTCGGCTGCGTGATTGGCTCGCGAGGGGTTTCGCGAGGGGATTCGCGAGCCATGGCTGGGTTTCGGGGGACATCCGGGTGTGGTCACGGGCTGCGTGGCGCTGGCGTGGAGGGGGCTCGGCGCGGGGGCAGCTGCCAGCTAACTCCGCCGCCCGGATCTCGCTAGGGACCTGGGAGGGGGCGGGGGACTCCCTCTCGCGTGCGTTTTCCAAGCTGTGGGTCGCGACAGCCCTTGCATCCGCGTGCGGCCCTGGTGGGAACGGGTTCCCACTGTCAAACATTATGCTTGTTGTATTTGTGTAGGCTGTAGTGGGTTAGCCTATAGGGGGGTCACAACATTAGGGTTTCATATTTGTACTCACAATCCTTGCTAGTCCATCATTCCAGTCCGTTATTACTGACATGGTTTCAGAGCAGGTCCTTCGCTAGGACCGTTCTTAGGGCCCACCGTTACCTACCTACCTACTGTGCGCCTCGTGCGCCTACGCGCCCTCGTGCGCCTCCTACCTACCGCGCGCGCGCAGCCCGCCAGCCGCCCGCGCGCGACTCGACTTTTTTTTTTTTTAGCGCGCGTATCCCGCTACCCGCCCGCGCGCGGTCGATTTCGCTGCGCGCGCCCCGCTAGCCGCACGCGCGCGGCTGTTTTCTTTACGCGCGGCCCCGCACGCTGCCCGCGCGCTGCCTGTGCGCCTCGCTGACGCGCCCGCTGCTGCAGCCGCCCGTCGCCCGCTCGCGCACACCCCGCCGTGGCCCCGCAGGCCCGCAGCTCGCCGCCGCAGCTGCCGCACGCCCGTTGCCCGCAGCCGCCCGTCCGCCGACGCCGCTGCCGCCCGTGCACCGACGCCGCTGCCACCCGTGCGCTGCTTCCGCTGCTGCTTGCGCACCGCTCGCTGCTGCAGCCGCCCGTGCGCTGTCGGCGCTGCTGCCCGTGCGCATAAGCCGCTGCCGCCCGTGCGCCTTTGCAGCCGCCGCCCGCGAGTCGCCCGCTACCGCTAGTGCGCCGCAGGCCCGCAGCCGCTGCCGCTCGCGCACGCCCCGCAGGCCCGCAGCCGCTCGTCGCCTGCTCGCAGACGCCCCGCTGCCCGCAACCGCTCGTACGCCGCTGCTTCCGCTGCTGCTTGCGCACCGCTGCCTCCCGAGCGCCACCGCTGCCCGTGCGCCGCCGCTGCCCGTGCACTGCCGTTCCCCGTGCACCGCTGCTGCCCGTGCGCCTCTGCAGCCGCTGCCCGCGAGGCACTCGATCTCACTGCTGTTTATTTTCTACCTACTGCCACTACTACTACTGCTACTGTCACTATGGCTAGTCCGCCAGTTCTAGCTTTCGATGCCGAGGGCCGTCCAGTGAAGTTTGAAACCTGGCTCGATGACCTGCACCTGTTCCTACAGCTCACTGCCAAGGAAGATATCTCACTGTACGACCATGCCCTAGGCCATGCCACTGCCCCTGACTCGTCTGCTGACAGCACTCTGCGTTCCCAGTGGCAGACCCGTGATGCGCACGCTCGCTTTGCTATTCGCAACTCCCTGCCGCTAGACGAGCGCGAGCACTTCGGCCAGTGCAAGACTGCTAAGGACCTCTACACCGCTGTAGTTGCCCGCTACTCCTCACCCGCTTCTGCCACGCTAGGCCGCCTCACTCTCCCCTACCTGTTCCCCGACCTAGCCTCCTTTCACACTGTCGCAGACCTCATCACCCACCTTAAGACTAGTGAGGCCCGCTTTCGCGCTGCTATGCCTGCCGAGTTTCTCACTAGCAACCCCCCCCCGCTCTGGATCACTCTCTACCACATCGTCACCCGCCTCCCTGACTCTCTGCGCGCAGTCAGGGACCACTTCCTCTCTCGCTCCCCCACTGAGCTCACTGTTGCCCTCCTCGAGAAGGAACTGCTTGCAGCTGAGGCGAGCATCGTCGCTGTAGGCACCTCTCGTGGCGACCCCCGCACCCCGTTCTTTGAGGGGTGTTCCCCTTCCCCCCTCCTCCCCTCTGTCGCCTCTGCTGCTGCTGTCGACCTTCTTGGTGCTGAGAAGGTCGGGACCGCGTCTGCTTCGAGCGGGCGCCGCAGGAACAAGGGGGGCAGGGGTGGGGGTGGTGGCGGAGGAGGTGGGGGTGGAGGCGGTGCGAGTGGAGGCGCGGCTGGGGAGACTAGTGGCGGCAGTGGGGGAGGAGACAGCAGCGGCGGGAGTGGTGGTGGAGGCGGCAGCGGAGGCGGAGGTGGTCGTGGCGGCGGCAGGGGTGGAGGTGGCCGGGGCGGCGGCGGTGGGGGTGGTGGTCGTGGAGGCACTGGCGGAGGGCAGAGTCAGCAGCCCGCCCCGACACTTCAGGCCGCCCGTGAGTGGTATGCGCAGCGTAGCGTTACCTGCACGTACGTCATTCGCACAGGTGACCGCAGTGGCCAGCAGTGTGGGAGGCCGCACCCCACGCAGCGCTGCTTCGCGCGCCTTAACGACGCGTGGCGCACTCAGTTTCCTGCTGCCACTGAGCTGCCGCGCTGGGCTGATCTGGAAAAGAGGGGTGTTGATATTTGGGCTTTAGACTTTGATGCTATTCTCACTGCCATGTATGCGATGTCTATTAGTGGAGAGGGTGCTCAGTACTTGCGTGTTCCGCCCGACCCGGGCATTCAGGCCAGTCCGGCTGCCGCTCTAGGTGCTAGTGCGTCTGCTCCCACAGGTCCTGGTGAGGCTGCAGCCCTAGGTGCTCGTGCGTCCGTGCCCCCTGGTACTGAGTCGACTGCAGCACTGCACACCTTCACACTGGACTCAGGTGCTTCTCGCTCCTTCTTTCGTGACCGCACTGTCCTTGAGCCACTCGCTCGGCCAGTTGCTGTCTCCCTTGCTGACCCCTCTGGGGGTCCGGTCATTGCGACCTCCTCCACTGTCCTTCCTTGTCCAGCAGTCCCGTCCGGCACACTGTCAGGTCTCTACCTCCCCTCGTTCTCTACGAACTTGGTGGCAGGTAGTGCGCTCCAGGACGGGGGTGTTCACCAGTTCACCCCTGCCTACGAGCGCGTGACACACTGCACATGTGCTCGGACGGGTCGCCACCTGGCTACCTTCACTCGGGAGCCGGGGTCGGACCTTTACACACTGACCACTGAGTCCCCTCAGGTAGCTACGTCTGCGTCTGCGTCTGCGTCAGGTCAGCTGTCCGCCCCCTGCTCGTGTCGCTCTCTGGCGCATGAGACTGTCCTTTGGCACCACCGCCTTGGTCACCCGTCTGTGCAGCGCCTTCGGGCCATGCACAAACGGGACCTTGTTGCTGGTCTTCCCAGGGTGCTCCCTCCCCTTCCCGACTCACCTGCTCCTCCCTGTATTCCCTGTGTCGAGGGACGGCAGCGCGCCGCTCCTCACTCCTCCTCCTTTCCCCCGACGACTGCTCCCTTGCAGACGCTCCACATGGACGTGTGGGGCCCAGCCCGCGTCCGTGGTCAGGGTCAAGAGAGGTACTTCCTGATTGTTGTTGACGACTTCTCGCGCTACACCACGGTCTTCCCCTTGCGCGCCAAGGGTGACGTCCCTGATGTCTTGATCCCTTGGATCCGCAGATCTCGTCTCCAGCTCCGTGAGCGTTTCCGCTCCGACTTCCCTGTCCTGAGTCTGCACTCTGACAGAGGTGGGGAGTTTTCCTCTGGCCTATTGGAGGCCTTCTGTCAGCAGGAGGGCATTGAGCAGTCGTACACGCTTCCGGCCTCTCCACAGCAGAATGGGGTTGCTGAGCGCCGCATTGGTCTGGTCATGGAGGTCGCTCGTACCTCCTTGAGCCATGCGGCTGCCCCCCATTTTCTGTGGCCGTTTGCAGTCCGATACGCTGCGCATCAGCTCAACCTCTGGCCCCGTGTCTCCTTGCCCGAGACTTCTCCGACACTGCGTTGGACGGGAGAGGCTGGCGATGCGTCGCGTTTTCGGGTCTGGGGATCCCGAGCTTTTGTCCGCGATACGTCCGCGGACAAGCTCTCCCGTCGCGCTGTCCCCTGCGTCTTCCTTGGCTTTGTCCCGGACGCCCCTGGCTGGCAGTTCTA